TCACCGCTGAGGACGAAACCCTCATCACAGAAGCAGCCTTCGGTGCACAGCACCGACGCGCAACCCTCGGGGGTGGCTGGGCCCCGACACGTGGCCGGGCAGCTGCTCCCACAGAGCTCGTAGTGTGAATGACGAGGGCAGGAGGGGCCTGCAAGAAGCAGAGGAGATAAAAAAATATGAAGCCCCACTTGGATTTGCAGCCGAAGAAGCATCAGGGTGAGTATTTCCATCGTCGCACCGAAGCCTGGGGGGCAAAGGCAAGGAAGTCTTCGGGGGTGGGGCGTCAATATCATGCTAGAGGGAAACAGGGATTTATTTTGCATTCCCCATCCTTGTGTTAATTAAACATGCGGAGATCAACAGGGATTTATTTTGTGTTCCCCTTCCCTGCATTAATTAAACATGCAGAGGGCCATGGGGATTTATTTTGCATTCCCAATCCTTGCGTTAATTAAACACACGGAGGGCCATGGGGATTTATTTTGCGTTCCCCATCCTTGCGTTAATTAAACACGCGGAGGTCAACGGGGATTTATTTTGCATTCCCCTTCCCTGTGTTAATTAAACACTTGGAGGGCAATGAGGATTTATTTTGCGTTCCACTTCCCTGCAGGAAGGAGGAACGTGGAGGGCAAGATGGATTTATTCGTCTCCGCTGCGTGAAGGAGGAACAAATTTTCCTTTGGAAACGAGCCAGGGGGAATTTTCCCGCATCCCTATTTGCATCCCAACTCCTCGCTTGGGCCTCGGAGCTGCAGAGGGAGGGGATAAAGCCATTGCATTGAGAGGAGACATTGGGAACGGGGCAAACCAACCCCTGTTTTGGAGTGTGGTTCATGTTTCTGTTGGCTTGAAGCTCAAAACCTTATTTTTATGGCCGGGTGTGTGCGTGGGATTGGGGTGGAAATCCCCTTCTGGCCCCCGCTCACCGCAGAAGGACGGCGTTCTCCACTGCTCCACGCTGACGCCGTGGCTCTGGCACTCCGTCACGTAGGCGGCGATGGCTTTGCACAAGGTATCCCGGTGGCCTTTGTAGTGGCAGGGGGGGGGTTGAAGCTCAAAACCTTATTTTTATGGCCGGGTGTGTGCGTGGGATTGGGGTGGAAATCCCCTTCTGGCCCCCGCTCACCGCAGAAGGACGGCGTTCTCCACTGCTCCACGCTGACGCCGTGGCTCTGGCACTCCGTCACGTAGGCGGCGATGGCTTTGCACAAGGTATCCCGGTGGCCTTTGTAGTGGCAGGGGGGGGGGGCGCAATCCTC